TTTTATAAATTTTTATATTAATATTTTAATTATTAAATATCTTAATTTTTTTAAAAATTAAGTGATTCTAATAAAATTTTAAAATAACTGTACAGATCAATGGTTATTAAAAATAAAATTAAAAGACTTAGAAATTAAATTTTATTATTTATTTATTTACTTTTTTGGAAATAAGAGGATGACATTACAGTTGAATCATAACTCAGAAAAAAGAGCTTAACAACACTAAATCCACTGGCGAGGGTTTTAGAAGGGTAGAGGCGCCTGATAATCAGAAGCCGAAATCTCAATCTTGCTCTTGCTGAAATAGTGGGTGTGGGTTAAGGGGAAAGGAAAATGCTTGTCCTGCAATGCTCTTGCCTTCTCCCACCTCCCAACATTGCGTCTTCGGTGCTTCCTCGCCGTTTCTACTGCGTTCCGCCATTTCCGACCGCTAAATACTCCCCTCACTGTTATACTTCAATGAAGATTTCACCAGCGATGTTGAGGATAGCGGGGAGCCAGAAGACTAATGCCCAAAGTTTGGAGAGAGAGATTGGTGATGATGGATATGGAGATAAAGAAGAAGAATTTGCGTCCCCAAGTGAATTTAGAGGGAGAGAAGAGGGGAAGAATTATGATAAAGACCCTGAATTTGCTGAGATTCTTGGGAGTTGCCTCGAGGACCCACAAAAGGCTCGGAGTAAAGTAAGTAACCCAGCTGCCTTTTTGATTGAAATTCTTCAATTTCAACTAAAGAGTAGCCTTTTTTTCTTGAAGCATTTCAGTGTGCTTTGTTTAAAAGTAGATTTTATATTATTAATTGATTGATGGTCTTGAAGCTTTTCAGTGTGCTTTGTTTAAAAGTAGATTTTATATTATTAATGGATTGATGGAGGTGACTGTATGTTCAGATGGATGATAGATTGAAAAAGAAAAGAAACAAAATTTTGCACACAAAAACTGGTTCTGGGACTCCCATGAAAGTAACATTCAACAAGTGAGTTATTTCTGCCCTTGTGCTTACTTTAACTTTAAAATCCAAAATAACTGAAGAACATTTATGTACTGCATAATGTTATAGAAACACCCTTGTTGTTTAGATAACTTTTCAATTAAATGAAATTTGATTGAGTTAATGTCTTCTTAATTTGTTTCCTGTGGGTTCATCTTGCCAGATTTGATTTTTCAAACTCTTATATATGGTTTGAATTTTACAACGCTCCACTGGAAAAGGATATCTCCTTAATATGCAACGTAAGTAACTATTCTTAAACTTAACATTACCATCTGAAGAAATTTCAATGATTTAAGTTAGCTGGTTTGCAGACAATTCGATCATGGCACATCATTGGTCGTCTTGGTGGATGCAATGCCATGAATATGCAAGTAGGTTCTTCCTCTGTTTTTTTAAACTGTGATTAAAAACTTTTTCATTCCGCAATAAGATGACATTGTTTGGTTGCTTGGAAGAGAAATGGCTGCTTCAACTATGCTGTTTGTCTGGTTTCAAGGCCAAAAACAATATGCTTATGTATATCTGGTTTTGTTCTGCTGATGCATGAAATTCCAAAATGAGGACTTGAAATCACTTGGATGGAAAGAGAACATGCGCTTTGATATGCATTGATTAGCCGTACTTGCAAACCTTATCTGTTTCAGCACAGCATCTCAACAGCAAAGTTTGTTGTTTGTGTGTTTTCCCAGTTATCACAATCTCCCATGGATAAGAGACCCAGTTATGATGCTATTCAAGGCGCAAATGTGAACCCAACAACGTTTTACAACATTGGTGATCTTGAGATTCAAGACAATCTAGCACGTGTATGGTATGGGGTTTGCTTTCAAGTTTCAGGGAATGGGTTAAGAGTGTTCTAAGTTTTGCATGCTCACATTTCATTGGATAAGAATTTTGTAAACAGATATTTTGATGGTTTCTGCTCATGAATCTGGTCAAATTTTAAACAGGGTAGATATTGGAACAACTGAACCACTGATTCTGGATGTTTTGATAAATGCATTAACACAGATAAGCTCTGAGTAAGTATTTCTCTGAACGACCTGCTGCTGTCCTTGTGATTCTAAATAATCTTAGATTGAAGTTGCAGTACATTTACTTACACAGACCAGCATACTAACTCCGGAGGGTGCCTATATAATTTGGTGATTATTAACTTGCTTAGTAGCAACATATGTTAGTCATGTAGTAAACAATTCTGAAGGCTCATGGTTTTCATTTCTTTGCAAACTATTTTTAGTTGCATTAATTTCATACTATCATTTATTTTTGCAGTTTGAACTTTGAATTAAGACATGGCATGACAACATTTAATGTTTCTTTAACAGCTATATTGGAATTAAGCAATTGGTGTTTGGTGGATCTCAATTTGAGAATTGGAAGGAAAACTTAGCTGAAGATGCAGGATACAGCGTTCATAAGATTTAGGTTTCTATGCTCAGCATCCTGGAAGAACATCTGAAAGTTCTTTCCTTCTTTCTTTATGCATTTCCTGTAGCAAATAATGAAACCCTAATGTGAATAACAATGATGTTTAAACCTTTGTACAGATTAAGTCAAGTCACTAATTTTTTCTCTTTCTTCCGTGGAACTGTTAAGAAGGTAAATGGTGAAGGCACTAGAAACATGTTATCCAATAATAACAAATGTATAGAAAGTGAGCATGGCTAACATGGTTTCCAGTCAATTTTCTATTAGTTTTGCTATTTGTTTGTTTTGTTTGTTTTATAGTTGGTACTTTTTTATGCTGTATTTGTTTAGTTTAAACTACACTAAGCATTAGCTGGCTAAGGGCCTGACTAATCTACTCTAGTTTTTTAAAGACTTTTTTTTGTTATTATTAAATTTTAGATTCTATAATGAGAGATAATTGTTTTTTATTTTTTAATTTATCTTGTTTATATGTCATGTAATTCAAATTTAAAATCTTTTATTTTCACATAAAAGATATTACAACTGAGCTACATAGATTTGTTGGCAGTTTTTTGAAGACTTTTCTTTTTGTCCTTGATTGTCTGACTAGGAGAGTGAAGAACTCTCTATAGATTTTGCCATTTAGGTTGTCCCTTGGTACGCGAATGTAGAGGGTTAGGCTGGTTTTATTCTAGTATTTGTGACCTTTTGTTTGAATATGTAAAATACTAACTTTATTATGGTAAATACTAGAAGAATAATATTTGATAAGCTACTATAGAATTCCAGGGAACATTTTAGGCTCTTGTTAAGAATAAATACCCCATTAATTTATTAAGGAGTTTTTTTTCCTCTATATATTAATCACACAAACCTATACAATTAGTCATTGTTTGAGAAGTTGATAAGGAATTGTCAAGTCAGTGGTTCCTTTAATATTCATGTCCATGAGTTAAAAGAATGTATAAGATTAGATTGATCATTGACGCTTCCATGATTCAAATACTTGGGTAGAAAGAGTTGAAGGGATAAAAATTATTAAATAATATTTAAGTAGCAAGAAAATTAATACAACTATAAAAGACTCACTCTTTCATAATGTAATTTCACTACTTCAAGTTACGTTCACGTTACCATCTAAAACTTAGAACTAAGAACAAGAATCAAATATTACCATAAACTAATCAACTAATCAACTAATCTAGAAACTTATGTAAATGATTTTTTTTTATTCCAATCTATTTTCACTTAAAAATAGCTAATTTGCGTTGCCCCTATTGCGCTCAACGACAATTAAAGGAATACTTAATCACACCTAATCAAGCTAGTCATGTAAGGATGCTTAAAATCACTGCTTAGCTCCTTCGGCATGGAACTTAATCACTACCTAATGCCTCGGTGCCATTAGGCATGCTTTTTGCAACAGTGCTCCCATAGTGCCTCCATCATCTATTTTTCACGCTGTCTCTTCTCGTTTGTTAGGAGTATGTTGCTATCTTCCCTTTATGTGTTCTCTATCTATTCACAGTTTGAAAAATCATGTTGGGTTGATTTGTATTATTTACTTGGATAAACTGATATGTATCACTGAATTAAGAGAGATTATACATAGTGTCGACTTGAGAATAAAGAATTTTGTGTTGAAAAGTACTATGGTTTTTGAGGAAAGAATGTAACGGAACGGTTGGAAAGATGAAAAGTTATTCTTGTTGCGCATGTCAAACGTTAGTTAGTGCCGAAGGAAAGTGCGAAGTTGGTAATGGCCCTTTCGATTCTTACGTCGTTGCCATCCCTACACCTCCGTTCAGTGGTACAACATGAAAGTAGCCATTTAAAGCCATCCTTTGAGTAATAATGAAAAGATCGAGGAGTGGGGGAAATTTTGGGTCTGGTAACATGGAATTGAATAACGTTATCACCTCAAGCAAAAGGAAGAAAATGTCTCCTAATTTCATAATTTCAACTTAAAACGCAATCATTTACAGACAGCTCCCTAATGCCACAAAATACAATATCTCTGTGTATCTTCAAGTGTGCATCCTTTTGGATTTGCAAGAATAGCAACACATTACACACGTTGTTGGGACACCTTCTCTGCAATTAGCTTGATCTCTTTGATTCTCTCGTCCACAAGCTGCTGGAGCTGCTCTTCTTGTGTTTTTGTTTGGTCCTTGTCCATCTGAACGCCAGTTGCCGCACCATTCCTTGACCTGAACATGACAAATGACACCTCCTCATCATGAATACTAGGGACTTGAATCACTTGCTTTCCAGCAATCTCTGAGTCTTTCCCTAGAATATCAGCCTTCACCCGATTTGAAATGATTGTCAAATAATCCTCCATGTACTTATCTACAGGGTCAAGGCCAAGATATACCAAAATCTCCCAGCACTGGAGAAACTGTTTCTTGTTAATTTTCAAAGATTTCCTGACATTATCAACTACATCAGGGGGAGGCATGAATCGAGGAGTATGGGTTTTCTTTGATAATTTTCCTCTCTTCAGTTGCAAAACAGCTGATTTAATCGCTTCCTGGACTGGATTAAAAGCCAGCAGATGCTTCATGTCCACACAGGTTCGCACATGTTGGAAATAATCTAGAGGCTCTTCAACTGTCAAGTCATAAACGTCTTCTGATATTGCAATATTGCTGAGAACCTCCACAAGGTAACCACCATATCCCCTGTGTTGATATGGAGGCAAAACCAAAATCTGCCATCAAAATAAACAATTTAATGAAAATGAAAAACCCAACTACCCAATAGTAATGAAACCAACAAGATTGACACTTGAATAATGACAAAAAAGATTGAACCTGACTGAGTCGGAGGCGAGAACTATCAGGGTAATGATAGAAGCGATACACAGCAGTAAAACCAAGTAGTAAATTTTGAGTAGTCGGCTGATCTCTATTCTTTTGTATCAAGAGATACAACTCCCAACTTGGATCAGTAACATCAATAGGATTGCTGCCTAATCAACAAAATAAGACTATTAGACTGTAACCAGGAATGTAATAACACATTGCTTCTAAGACCAGAACAAGCAAATAATTACCATCAACCAGAAGAAGAACCAAAGGTACCAATCGACTATAAAGATGCCCAGCAGCTGAATTGCCCACCACCATCCGAACAACCTGAAGCAAAAGACATGCATATACCAGAAAGTCAATTTCAAATAGGTGTCAAATCAAAACTTATAAAGCAGTGGGATTGCACACATTCAAAACATAAAATCATCAAGCATGACTTTCTCATGGCACTGTATGTACCATGGAGTAAACAATCCACATCCAGATCATTATAGCATGGAATAATGCCATATTTTCTGCGAAACTCTGAAAAGTCCACAGATATAGGAAAAGCCAAAAAGTAGAAAGAAGAAAACAGCGCAATAAGACTTTTACTTTGCTCACTAACTGTTGGAATGAAATTGTTACAGGACCTCCATTAATTGTGAGTTAAATCAATGAAACTGAAAGAGGAAACAAGCTGTTGGCCAAAAAATTAGTCAAAACAGGCCCAAAAAAACAATTCAAGGATGGATGTGAGAGCTTCCCATGCTGTTATGCCAGGTGCTTAATAGGAAACCTAAAATAATGGAGTCAAGCCACTGAAGTCTTGCACCAGCAAATGGTGGGACTCAAGGCCAATAGCATTAGCCACAAATGTTTGGCAACAAAAAATACAATCCTGGCAGATACAATAGATGCAAAATTTATGGGAGTAGTTCCAGAGCATTAAAGATACTATACCTCCACATTGGAAGTAGTTTCCTCTGGGCTACAATTATGATTGATGTCATCTCTGAAGGCTTTGTACTGCAACTTCTCTCCATTTGAGACAACTGAACTGAGAGGACAACATGGGAGCAAGTTCCAGAGCATTAAAGATATTTAATTCTTAACATCCCATGTATGTTAGAAAAAAAAAAAAAAGAAGCAATGAAAACGGAATTATTATACAGGGCCAAGATATCAATTGCACAATACCTAAGGAAATGACTCTCCGTTGAAAAAGTTTGAAGGAGGTCATCTTTAGTCTCAACAAGAGTCTCACCAAAAATACTCTGGTAAATGACTAAATAATTAGTATCTCTTTGGATATCAATGAAAGAAGCAACAGCTTCACCAAACAACACATGCATACCTGTAGAGCAGGTTTCAAATCTGTAATCCCTTTGCCACCCTTTAAATAAATTAATTTAAAAAAGAAAAGAAAAGAAAAAGATCATTTTGAATACTCTCATGTCAGGCATAATATACCAGGCTAAGTAATTCATGGATGTGTCACTTTACTTACATCACAGGTGCCATCAAATGAAATGTCAGCATATGCATGGAAAGATATAATGCTAATCCAAACAGTTATCTGCATAAGATGACGGAATGACTCTTTAACAATAAAGAACCACAAGAAGAAAGATGAATGACAGGCAATATTATCATCCTTTAAAGCATGCAATGTGCACATACTAAGAGGCTTCAACTTGAATGTACCTTCAGCCCTTGGTAACCATATATTTTCCCATCTTCACCAAAAAAGCTGTTCAAGTCAACTGGACTAATACAGTAACCATTTGAAGTTCCAACTTCTTCTTTACTAGAAACTGTCACACCATCAACACCAAAAATGAAGAATGCAGAAACCATCATATTTAAAGAAGAAAGGTCTAAAACCTCGCGATTGAAATTGACTGCAAAAACTTAAAAGGAAAAAAAAGAGAGAAAACTAATACTAAGTTGATCATTTAAGAGCTAAAACAAATACCAGTGCGTTGAGAGCAAAGTTAACCATGTCAATTGTTCAATAACTCTCTACTGATCGGCTTTCTCAAATTAAAGGATAGCAAACAGTGAAAAACAACGGGAGCAAACTGTTTCTGCTTTTGATTATCTGTTTATCATTTCATCTTTTTAGAGACCAGTGGGAGTAATTCCCAGAACAAAGCATCTGAGTCTAAGCAACGGAAGAAAAACTACCATAAGCTCAACACCACCAAGCTGAAGTAAATAATTACGTAAATAAAGTTAACAATCTTAGTACTTCAAAACCACACAACTCACCCAAGAAAATCTTGATGCAGTCATTGGCCTCGACTCCGGCATCTGCTTAACAATCAATAACAAAAACAAGGGCAAAAACCAGTTCAGTGAGCTGAAGCCCAAAAACATTGTTTGAAGAAACAATAGAAACACTGAAAAGAGCAAGAGCGAAGCCTGAAAGGAGAAGATTTAGGGAACCATGCAAGCAGAAAATAGAAAAAAAAAAATAATAATAATAATAAAAGAGTTGAATTGACTGACCGACGGCGGTGAACCCGACGCGTCTCCGTTTCTTGGGTTCGGGGATTGGATCTGCGGTGGACTGCTGCTTCTTTTGCCCCATCCTGGGAGAGTTAGGGTTTAGCAGAGCGGGAAATGGAGTACGTAGAGGCGGGAAATTAGACTGGGGAGAAAGGAGGGGGACGTAATTTGGGGGCTCAAATACTGCGAAAGAGACAAAACGGAGCGCTGCTCGCGTACATTGCACGTGATGTCCTAGAATTTAGTTATAAATGCTTTAGGGTCGGCACCCTTACTAAGGGCTGTTAGCCTGTCACTTCTGCAATTTAACTCCTTTATTGTCGTATCTTATAAACAAAAGCACTGATTATACTTATAAGATATAATTTTTTTAAATTTATTTTTAGTAAATTTATTCTAAATTAAAAAAAATATTTTAAAATTCAGACTAATTTAAACAATAAAATATTAATTATTTCATAGGAGTTGATTCTTTGATATTGTGATTCTTCTCTGTCAAATGATTCTTGAAATATTAATCATTTGATAGGAGTTGATTTCTTGATATCGTGAGTTTTCCCTTGTTAAATAATTCTTGTTTTATAGTTTAAATCAGTTTGAATAGTAAAACAAAACTCTTTTTAAATTTTTAATTTTTAAAATAAAAATTTAAAATAAAAATTTAATAATATATATGAATAACAATTAAATAATTTTTTTCTCTTTATATATAGTTTTTATTAAGTATTTCTATCTGATTAAAAAAAATTTAATTATTATTTATATAATATATGAAATTTTTATCTAAAATTTATGTATGAAAATTCAAAAAATTAAATTAAATTGACTAGTAATAAATAGAAAAAATATTAGCTATCAACAACATATTATTCATATAATATATTAAATTTTTATTTAAAATTTATCTCCAAAAAATGAAAAAATAAACCACATCTATTAAAAAGTAAAAAAAAAAAAGAAAAGAAGAGTATTAATTATCAACAACATATGAACAACTAATCTGAACACCTCACGAACCGAAGGCTATGAGATAATGTAAGAATGGAGCTCAACAAGAGACACCTAGGCCATTAGCAAAGCGATGCTTTTAATAGCAAGGGGGTTTTCTATTTCCAACCCAGTACTTCTGGGCCTAATCCACTGCTACCACAAACAAGGTCCTTGACTTCTTCTGGTAAACCAGTGGTGCATTCTTATAATCCCATTTGGATTTTTCAGCTATGGTAGTCTAGTCTCGTCTTCTAGTTTATTTGCTGGAGACGTTTCTGGAATTCCTAGTAGTTTTAGTGGAAGTCTATCCTTTTCTTTTAAGCTTAAGGCAGCATAGCCTGAGAGGAGTTCCATTTTCACAATGGGATCTGAAGCACCTTTTCCTTTTGTAGGAATAGATTGGATCCCAAATCCTCTCTCTACGAGTATGTTTAGATAGAAGGAAATGGGCAAAAAAAGGCGAAATAAAGGATTTTTACCCAATCGAACTAGAAAACATGCTATAGACACAGTATGTTTTTCAGTTTACCCACACGTTGTAATGAGTTGTAATATTGTTACTCAAACACCATAAGAGCAATTTTTTTGAGCAAAAATAGGTACTCGCTTGACAGGAACAATTCAATTAAAATTCTCAAATACATAGAAAATAGAACTTGAGTAATTAGGGCAAAGTTTAAACTTCTCTAACAAGAGTGATAACTCTTCTAATACATCAAAAACCAGAACTTTGAAGTCCCCGATGCTTTTAGAACAAAAACAGAACCAACATTTGACTCAAATGAAACCTTTCACTAAACTTCTTACTTCCTACCACGGACCTTAGCAGCCTGTCTGTTCCTCTTCTTAACTCCGGACTTAGCAACCTTAAGGCTCCTGTTTACAGCACTAAGTCTTGCAAGAGCTGCCTTCTTCAAGTCTGGCCTGTAGTAATTGTCAGCAACCTGGTAACATCAACAAGCAGGCAGTTAGTCAAATGCTCCTACTCCATTAACATGCACTACCTTTAAGAGATAAGTAAGTAGGAAAGAAAAGCTCTAATCATTTATATTCCGAGACAGGAAAGTGATTGAACCTGGTGAATGCTTCCAATATCAATAAATAGCAAGAAAAAATAGACCCATTATCAAAAGATATGCTTTATGTATGAAAGAATTGAAGCTCAGAAGCCAAGCGTAACAAGTATATTGCATTGAAGATCCCACTCTAAGAGTGGCCTTCTTATATGTTAGCTTTTCATCACAGCTTTGACTCCAAATTTGCTGCCAATGATGTTATAGATATCCTTCGAAAAATCAATTTTGTAGAACAAACACACAACTTTCTATCAGAATTTAAGACAAAGAAACATAGAGAAGCAATAAATTTTGCTTCTATGAATCATAAACCTGTACAGTTCTTTACATAATATAAATATGAACCCCATAAAGATCTTTTCACATGACACAAAATCACAACTTAAATAATAAACAAATTCACTATGAATTTATGATTCAATTTTAATTTCTATTCAAACAACATTAATCAAGAGAAATCCATTACCTGGTTGACGACAGCCTTGGCCATCCTAGGGAATTCCTTCCTCATGACAGACTTGTGAAGCAAACTGGAGGGTTTGTTCTGCTTCTTGGTCTTGGTCGTGGCAAGCACCACAGAAAGGTCCTTCCCTCCTGCCTGAATGGTAACAGTCTTCTTGTTTGCCAAACCTAGAACAACCAGAGACAAAACCCGATTTCAAATCCTAAAATACTGCTTTCTTTTGTGCTCTATTTTCTTTAGGGTTCGCGAGAAACAAACAGAAAATGACGAGAGGATTACCAGAGTGCTTGTAGGAGTTGAGGTTGTAGAGGTTATTGCTCTCCTTGCTGAACTGCAAGCCCGCAGTCCCTCTACCGAATTGCTTCACCAAAAATGAATTGTTCTTCTTCACGATCTCCCAGATCAACTGTCCCGGTACCGTCGCCATTTCACCTTCACCGAAACTGAAGAAAATAAAACACGATCAGCAAACCAGAAACAACCTAAAGCTATCAGATCGTCGTAAAAAACTAAGAGAAACCACGAAATGTACGTTCAGATCTTGGAAAAAGGAAGAAAATTAGGAAGAAATATGAGAATCGTCGGATTAGAGGACTCACCGCCGCAGACGAGAAACAGAGGCAGGGCGACAGGGTTTAGGGTTTCCTTGCCCTGGGATGGACGCGAAACGATGATTTTATATGCGGCCGAATTGGGTTTTTATTATTAATTGTGGACTTGTTTTGGGCCTTTGAAGGGCAAGCCCAATCAGTGGTCGAAATTGGGATGAGCCCAATCTAGGTCCAAGTGGAGATCTGGTGGATAACCCAGTCCGGGTCTGTTTTCCAAAACTACCCCCTA